GACCAAGAAGATTAAAGTTTTTTAGAATTCACTAGAATTTTCTTTAGAATAAATTAAAAGTTTTATGAGTTTTAAGTTCTTACCTACAAAAAAAATTACAAATGTTCGTAATTTTGATGTATTTTGTAAACATTTGAACTATTGAAGCTAATAAAATAATTGAGATTGTATATTTACGATATTTTAGATTCTGAGCGGAGGAATGAATGTGTTGATTTTACAATAATGTGTGTTTGTATTATTTTTTCGCGTCTTGGGACAATAAAAATGTTTCGATTTTCTTCAACAGCATCTTTTCTGATAGGAAAGTGAATCTAAATAATACTTTGGAGGGGTCAATAGTTAAAATTTCTCAATGGTTTTCAAAAGCAGAGAGAAAACAAAGCAAAAATTTAAGAAAACACGAAATTTTACGTCAATTCGGTTTAGGTTTTTGGTGTAACTGTTGAACAAATTACCGTAAATACATGACATTTTCTCTAAATGTTTGTATAAGAAATTTTTACACCAAATAATTTTCAAAATATTTTGACTCATAAGTTTTTGGTTGTGAAATTAAAAAAAAATTGAAAACATCTGAATATCAAATGTTGACAATCATTTTCAAATTAATTTTTGAGTTAGAATTAGAAATTCCTATTTCCTAACAATTTTTATTTTTAAATTACAGATTTGAAAATTCAATAAAAATTTAGTTATTTTGTTGTAATACAAAAATATTATTTGTGGATCTTATTCGTTGGAAAATGGAGTTCTATTAAATTTGTATGAGCGTTTGAAGTTCAAATTTTTGCAACATTGGATATTCAGTCGATTTCTCAAGGAACGATTTTATTATAATTTAAAAACGAAATCTTTTATCTGCACTATATGTATTAATTGTTGACTGTTGAGCTATTATAGTTTATTACTAAAAGCTAATAAAAAAAAAAAAAACTTTAGTTACTTGAAATCTTCAAAATATTTTGACACGTTTTGAGCTACTGACATTTTTCGTTTTTAAATTTTCCGTTTTTTTTTTTTTTAAATGTCAATGTAATTTTATTTGTTGGATCAAAAAACTTAAAAAATTAATATAAGGTTTCCGATAAACTGTTACAAAAGCAGTTGAAAAATATTGAAAATATTAGATACGGTTTTTTTCAAAACTAACTATTTAAAGTTTAATTGTTGACAACATTTATCAAATCGAAAATTTAAAAATTATTTTGATAAATGTACATAATGTTCAACTTTTATAGTCAAGGATTGAAAATTTAAAACAAGGTTCCATTTAAGTAGATTATTCAGTGACCAAAAAATAAAACACAATTTTTTATAGTTATGATAGTTTATAGATGTTCAAATTTGGACAAAATTATATATTAATAACCAAAAATAATGATTTAAGTTATTTCGTTATACACACAATGACATTACAAATGTAATTTTTTTGGTAAAAATTAATTTTACCTACTGTAGTCTGTAGTACGAAATAATAATGCCTTACAGTAAAATCAATTACTTTATCACAATAATATCATAAAATATAGTAAGTAGGTAATATTAGAGGCTGACAGACTGTTTTCGCTTAGAATTTATTTTCGTGTATACAATGATTTTATATCATTGAATTCAAATTTAACTCCATCCATTAAAGTGACCCACTGGCCACTTGTAACCTACTGCAGTACAGCAGAGCGACATCCACTTACCCGATTTTTATTTCTGTTTACACAACTTATGCAAGGTTTTATATTTTTCCAGCATTTTTACCAAAAACAGAAATGTTATACAAGTTTAAAAAACAGTTTTAAAAATAAAATTTAGTAGCAGTAGTGGCAATAAAAGAGCCAATCATGATAATATTATAAAATGTCTAGGTATTGAATAATAATATGAATATTCGGTGAAAAAAGATTATCGTTAATTTTTAGTAACAACAAAACTAAAAAATTGACAACTGATTTTGTATAAAATTTCTTGTTTTTTATTTGGTGGAGGGATGGGTGTAGATGTATCAATTTGCTGACTCACCATCTATTTGAATTCCATGTTTTTTGACTGAGCTTATTTTTATCGTCGATAATTAAAAAAAAACTAATGAAATTTGTTTCTTTCTTATGGCTATAAATAGCTCAAAAAGAGTCAAAATATTTTTAAAATTTTAATACGCATAGAAAATGCAAGTATGTAATGTATAGGTACGAATAGTTACCGGTGAATTTGTGTATACAAAGCAATTGAAGATTTTACAAAGGAGTTATTATATAGTTAACATTATATTATTGACATATCGTAGAACCTATAGTCCAATTCTCGCAGTCGTGAAGTCATGCAAGTTGCTGATATGGGTCTCAATAAATACAATGACTATTTTTAGTTTTTACATTAGGATTACCTGCTTTAAAAAAAAAATTTTAAATGTAAAAATTATTCAACAAATGCCTATAATTTTTAATTGTTACGAAATAGAAATTGAAATTAATTTTAATCCGACTAATTTAATGTTGATTGGGTATCATGATTTTGTGAATACTAATTTAAAAAAAAAAACAAAAATGTGGCGGGGGTGTGTCATATTTTTACTTAATTATAAGTATAGTGAATAAAATACAAGGGGGGGGGGGATTAAATTTGGAGTTTAGGCTGCAATAGTCCTAAGATTATTTTTTTTTTCTGTGAACATTTTCAACCAAAAGACCTGATTAGGTACATATAAAATATCCCGACATTCATCATTAGTACCTAATATTGAGAGTTAATTTATGGATTTTTTTATACATTGATATCGAGTTAATCAGGCACTAATCATATTATAGAAAGATGGCAAATTTGACATAGTGAACCTTTTGTTATATTAATATCATATTTTTAACAGTTTTTTTTTTTATAAAATTTAGACTTTGAAGAACGAATCCATGACAATAATGACAAAAAATAGAAGCTAAATAAGCCAAGAGTGTATAGACATTAAAGGAATTTTCCTTGAATATATATTAAATATATAAATAAAGGTATACTCACTAAAATAATTTCATAAGATTACAACTTAACTTATGTTTGAAAATGTTTTTTTTTAATTTAGATTTTTAATCTTAATGCCTCAACACTTATTTTCAACATATTTTAGTTGCAATATGAAAAACTTAAGACGGAACCTTGCATTGAAATTTCAGAAATTTATGTCGTTATGTAATTATGTTATAAATAGGCAACTACCTACCTCAAAAAGCTTTAAAATATTTTAGATTCTGAATAGCAATGAATATATTTTATTTATACAACGATTTGTTTTTTATTCGTTTTCAACATTTGGGATCGAAAAATGCTTTGATTTTCAACTTAAGTAATTTTTCCAGTCAGAAAATTAATCTAGATGGTGCATTAAAGAGGTAAAAAATCCAAGTGTTTTTAGAAAGGAAAAACAAAAAATGAAAAAAAATAACAAAACACAAATTTTGAAAAATTTCGATTTTATTTTGTGGTGTAACTCAAACATTTGTAACCTTAATCACTTGAAAATTCGACTATTTTGATAAGCATTTTGCATTTATGGCAGTGGCGCAACTAGGGGGGGGTGGTTAAGGGGTTGTGACCCCCCCCCGAAATTTTTCCGAGGCTTAGTGTTATGTTTTTTAGCCGCCGTAGTTAAAAACACATAAAAAGAAGTAAAATAAAAGAGGCAGTCTACGACTCCATTGTAATCCTGATTTTTTTCCTTTAATCTCAAAGTTATTGCAAATATTAATTACACTGCCAGTCACAACAGCTACTGGAGAGAGGTATTTTTCATCCTTGCGTCGACTTAAAAATTATCTCAGAAATACTACTGGTCAAATGAGACTAAATGGATTGGCAGTCCTCAATATACACCATGATATTAATGTTGATCCATCAATGATATAAATTTTATGGTAATACATTTTGGAGCTACATTTTTAATCTACATTTGTTTTGAATTTTGTAAATTTTTTTTAAAATAATCATTATTGATAAAAACTATTTCACTCAGTAACTAGCTTGACAATTTAATGCAAGAGTCATAAGATGTTTTAATAGCAGTTCAAAAATATTAAAAACAAATAAGCATGGTTATTTTTTATATGCATTGAAATTTGAAATTTTGACCGAATTCATCAAAGTCTTAAATATTTTCTTATTGATATATTTGATATTCAGCAGTAAATTAACGAATTCCAAATGGTGAGTAGGTATGAACGCATGGTTTTATGTTCGAATTTTGTTATCAGAACCGGCTTGTTAATCAATTTTTAATATTTTTTTTAATTTAAAAACTCATAACTTTAAACACTTCCCATTTTCACAAAATACTTTTAATAAGAGTTTCATACATGGTCAAATATTCAAAATATATTATAGCCATGAGAAATTTTCCCTATTTTTTAAATTATTCTTTAAAAAATTTTAAAGTTTTTTTTCTAGATAACATTAGAAACTGATAAGAATATTTTTACATTATTAGAATCCCAGAAAGTTGTTTTACCTTGAGGAAAGTTATGCTATTTATAGCCATTATAGCCATGAAATATTTATGATTTTTATTAATTTTTTTTAAAAATTATTTATACGTTTGCTAGGATTGAAAAGTCAATACACTGCACAGAATCTAAAACTTATTCACCAGTAACATATCTAGAATATCGAAATGGGGGAAGGGAGATAAATATAAATATATGTAGTATAATGCATAAATAATAACCATCAATTGAATGCAATAAATCAAAAGGGGTGGGCTGAAAACACAAATGTTATAATCACTACATCTTAATGATTGTTAAATAAAATACATTTTAAATTGATTTGTTTATTAAGTCACTTTTAAATATTAAAAATAACACAAATAATAACTATATACCTGTTTTAAATTATGATTTTTAAGGTATAATTTGCTTGGCAGTTGGCCCATTCAACATAGTTTTTGTTAACTATATTTTACATGGTTAGGCCATACCTTTAGATAAAACATTTTTTCGTTTCAAGTAAAACAAATGAATAAATATGTTTGACATTATAGAAAACATTGCTATATTTATCTTAATAACATTATAAAATATATAATATATAAATGTTTAAGTATAATAATATTGTTTATACTAAATTGTTCGAATTTTGTATGGAGAGGTTAAATGTATTTTATCAAATTCCTGAAAAAGAAAATGGTATTAAAAGGAATTCAAATACAATAACAAAATAGCTTATAACATGCAAGAATCTACAAGATTAAAAAATTTAATCAATATAATTATTTAAATCTAATGGAAGGTAAATACCACAACAGCAATGATGCAAATTAATAATATATATTTGGTTTTACTTAATATGTTAAAAACACAGGGGAAAAAATTATGATAATAATCTAATTTTCAATTCAAAATAACTATTGTTTATTACTCACAATGTTTGACTGGCGATTAATATCATACTGTTTTACTTTATTATATATTACAACTCCCGCAATAACTATGACAGTACCAAGCCCACTCAAGAGAGTAATAGAATTTCCAAATAAAATAATTGACATCCATATGAGAAATGCACGTTTGACAGTATTGGCCACACTAAATTGATTAAATATGAAATTTAAATTTAAAATCTAAAATATAGACTGAAAATTAAATTAATTATTACCTATAAGTAACTGGACTGATATAATCCATAAGAACATATGCTGTAATACTTTGAAAATGGAAAAACACTCCATTTAATACAAACATCAGTAAAAGATATAAACTAGTATTAGAAACCGCATATTTGATGTCAACTAATACTAATGACACAGGAATTTGAATAATAATTGAAGCTAAACTTGTATAATATTGTAATTCAGCAGGTCTTAAATATAAAAAAATTTGATTATAATGTATTTGAATTTTAAATTATTTTAAACTTACGTATATTTGAATTTATCGCCACTAATCAGCATTTTTGAGTAAACATTTTGTAAGCTGAAGAAAAATGTAATCATACAGCATTAATAATTTGAAAAAAAAATATTTTAAATATTATTACCACTCAGTAAAGTTGGTTGCAAGGGCAGCTATAAATCCTGGTAGGTTAAATGAAATTTCATTTGAAGAACATAATGCCAGGCCAACCATTATAGGAACTAAAGATAGGCTTACCAAAATACTTGTTTGTTCTCCTAAAATAAAAATATTTTCTTAATATAATCAATTCTATTTGTAGTAAAAAAAATAATGTTCTAAATTTTAAGAGTATTTTTTTTTATTCAGCTTATACTTATGTTTATTTTTTCTGATGTTTATAAAACTTTTATTTATTTCATTTGAGACTTAAGTTATTAGTAAGTACCAGATAAAGTGCATGTTACATTAAATAACTTTAAATAGATACTATATTATCTATTGCAAGACAAACACAGTTGATACTGTTATTTACTTCCATAGACACCATAATATGTATATTAATACTATATTCACCTTACCTAATAACAATTTTGAAATAAATACGGTAAATATTGGAGCTGAACTTTTAATTGTTTCTGTAAAACTCACTGCTACATAATTTAATGAAATAAGTCCTAAAAGTACTGTAATAAATCTGTAAGTAAAAAAGTTACAGTTATGGTTTGGGGAAATTAATTTACATTTTTATAAATAATAAAATTACCGTGTACAACCAACTAAGCACATATGGATATAAAAGTTTGGAGGTCTTTTGGATCGCTGTGTTGGTTGTTTGTACATACCACATGGTAAATACAGTTGGACAAAGCCACATATAGTTGTCATAATCATTTGAGATGCTCCTTAAATAACATAAAAATCAAAAGTTGAATATTTATCACACTCAATATCATGCATGACAATTATATTTACCCAGTACAGTAGGATCTCCATTCAAATAGGAAAGGATGTACTTGTTCAAAAATAATGTACATCCGCTAAAGAAATACCACAAGACCAAGAATGCGATGGCCCTGAACGATTGTAAACCATCTTCCATTCGTTTCTCAGCAATGGTAACAGATTTGGGCAGCTGAGTCATAAATGTCAGTTTTATATCACATTTATACAAGAACAAAAAATTAAAACAAAATAAAACTAATAACTACATGGTAAGTAAGAAAATGTGTAGGTAACTATTAATTGGTAAGGAAACTGTCAATGAGTGAAATACATTCAAGAAGATTTTTTTTGTCGAATAATAGACACGTCACGAATAAACGATACCTATTTCAAAAAATGTTTTCAGCTCATCGTTTTGAGTCTTATCTTATCATTCCTAACGATACAATATCGTTTTGTATACATACTAGAACATAGAACCGTATATAGGTATCAACCCGGTAGGTTTGTATGAGCGTTAGTATCAAGTGGAGTGTTAATTATGAATTACGAAAACGGCGTCGTCAATTATAGACGGATATAATATTGTTCCTAAACAATTTATCCATAACCGTGGTTTTTAGGTTAATATGAAGTGGATACTCAACAAAACGACAAGTAAATTCACCTTACAAGGAAAAAAAGTACCGATTTCGAAGTTTGTATATCGTACATAAAAACCGATGGTACAACATCGATATATTAGATAAAAACATCGATGTTTTTCGCAAACTTCTAGTTCAAAGTGTTCAAACGTCAACGCCAAGCCGACAAGGTACTAGGTAGTAGGTACAGTCAGGCTAACAGTTCGAATTATACGTTTTTGGGAAAAGTATATTAAGTAAAAACGTGAGTATATTTAAGTATATGATACATTTTAAAGTTACTTTTTTGATGTCTTGAAATATGTGTGCCTCAGTGCTGTTGGCACTAGAGTTGTGATGAGTTGATGTAAAAACAAATGCATGTGACTTGTTTTGTGAAGCCAATAATGGTTTAACAATAAATTTAAACGAGTGAATATTATTATGTCGGAGATTACCCTAACGGAAATTATTGACAGTATGCCGTTCTCGCTTCCCTAATTTTGCCAAAAGGCTGTGAAGTTATTAGTGTAACTTTTAACAATAGGTACTGAATACTTGGATTGGAAATATTTCACCATCTTAGTCTATATTGAGTGTTTTTAGTTTTTTTTATACAATTTCCTCTTAAATGAACTGAGTTTCAGGTTTTTATATTAATTTATGTTGAATATTCAAGGACTAACTATTGTATCGCAATTTCTTAATGATGACAAACCTCTTAAAATGTTAAGTATCAAAAAAAAAATTCGTAAGGAGTACAAAAAATAGTATAAATTATCATAGAGTTATAGGTAATAATATATATATACAGAGTAATGTTTTTCATGTGAATTAGTCTAAATGTTAAGCTATTATGCATTAATGTGATTTTATCAAGTTCTTGTCTGATTCACATTAAAAAATTCTATAAACCTTGTGTTAGGGTTAAAAATGTTGTCTTATTATTTATGGTCTATATTGATATTTACATGTTAACATATAGTATGACAGTTGTTCTTATTTCTAACTTTTTTTACAGGATTAGTTGGAAATATATGATAATACAATAATGGCAGTCCGAGCACAGTTTGAAAACAATAATGAAATAGGGGTATTCAGCAAGCTGACAAATTCCTATTGTTTGGTTGGAATTGGTGCTTCAGAAACATTTTACAGTGTATTTGAATCAGAACTGTCTGATATCATACCTGTTATTCATGCATCTGTTGCTGGATGTCGCATTGTTGGCCGTATGACAGTTGGCAACAAAAATGGGTTACTATTACCTAATTCGACTACCGACACTGAATTGCAACACATACGCAATTCGTTGCCCGACAATGTCAAGGTACAACGTGTGGAAGAACGTTTATCCGCTCTTGGAAATGTAATGGTGTGCAATGATTATGTAGCACTAGTTCATCCTGATTTGGACAAAGATACAGAAGAGATACTTTCAGATACTTTAAATGTTGAAGTGTACTGACAAACTGTGGCTTCTAACTGCTTAGTAGGTTCATACTGCGCTATATCTAATCAAGGAGGATTAGTACATCCTAAAACCACAGTGGAAGATCTCGATGAATTGTCTGGTCTGATTCAAGTTCCTCTTGTAGCTGGAACAGTAAACCGTGGTTCAGACGTTGTAGGAGCTGGTATGGTAGTGAATGATTGGTGTGCTGTTTGTGGTACAGATACTACATCAACTGAAATTTCTGTCATCGATAGTATATTTAAATTAGATCCAGATGGTGTACACAAAATGAAAAAACTTAAAGGTCCACTTATAGATAGTATCAAAGCTTCATAATCATTAATAATTATAAAGCACACTTAATGTTTATACTATTTATATTGTCAATGTACTTCAGTTATTATAAAAAAAAAATGTTGTTTTGTTTGTTTCAATTTACTCTAATAAATACACAAAATATTAAAGAGCATATTATTTTTAGCTATTATTTGCTTATATACATAAAATGTTTTTCCCCCAGTGGTCTATATCCTTTTTTATTTTAGAACAATTATGGACATTGATATCTGTAATTTGATAGATGAGGAAGATGATGATAATCAAGAAGAAATGACTGCTCAGAAGGTATGACAAAATGTTGCTTGGCTAAATGAAAAATTTGATCCAGAAATACTGCTATATCATACTGACCGTGTTAATTATTTGCTAGAAGATATCAAGTGAATGGAAGGAAACCTTGTCAAATTATCAAAAACTGATCCCAAAGTGGACTTGTAAAAACTTGAACTAGAACGTTTTAAATTTATGATAACTAGCTACTTGCTACTTAAACTTAGGTTGGAGAAGATTTGTGTGAGTGCGCTTGAAGAAGCCACTCGCTCTGAAGAGGATGCATATTTATCACTAGAAGAGTTGATGTTTGCCCTGAATGACGACAATCATTTATATGACTCTATAGTCTATACTCTAACATGTGTGTAATTTATACAGTAACTTGGATAGAAAGAAGTAAAACAATTATTGAGCCCAATTTAAATAATTTTGTTTTTTTTAATTGTGACAATTATATAGACAGTGTTATTATAATAAATATATTGGAAGGGAAGGAAGATGATATTGTAGATGGTTCTTAACATTTGATGGCTTATAGTTCAGTTGCCGAATTTGTAAAAAGGGGTACTGTTCAATTGGTTTTTTTTTTTAAACTTTTATTTACAATTAGTTTCAACAGTTAAGTATTAACAAGCAACATCAAAACATAAGTAATAAGATATAAGTTATTTACAAAACAGACAAGAAGAAATTAAATTAAAAAGCCTGTATGGTTAAAAAAAGATAATATATTATCAATGATATTTTTTTTCTGACAAGAGAGGATATTTTTGGTGTTGAATAGGTGGTTAAGTTGGAGTGATAGACTGGGGCAGTTGAAGATGAGGTCAGTTATGTTACAGACCAATAAACCATTGTGTCATTGTTTAGTGTATAGAGAAGAGAACTGTTTCATGAAGGTTTGAAGGAATGAGGAGAATACTATACTTTTCCCGGAGAGATTGAGGTATGAATTAAAGGCATTAGATGAGAGAGCTTGAAGACAGGAAAATGAGTCAGTGGTGATAAGACATTTATTTGGTAGTAAGGAAGGTATTATTTCGAGAGCTTCAATTATAGTTGCGCATTCAGTTGTTAATGGTGATGTAGTGGGTGAAAGGTTATTAGAAAAAGAGATGTGAAATTGATAATTTATGTTACACTAGCTGATCCCGTGCACTTTTTTGCCCGTTAAAAATGCCAACTCTATATGAGACTAGATGGTGATAATGTGAGCAGTATATTATGCCTACCTACTGTGGATTGCAGATCCCGCTTGATGGGTACTTTATATAAATAATATGTTTTTATTTTTATTTTGATTGCGGACTTGCCAATGAGCAGCTATAAATGCAACTCAGCCACCTTGGTAGGCAGTGTACAAAAATTCAATTGTATGCATGCTTATGCAGTTAGACCTGATCTGCCCGATGAACCACTGTAGGCAACCAATAAACAAAAAAATAAATACCAATTTCTACTAAATATATTTATACTTCTATAACCAACAGCAACTACTGGCTATAAACAAATATTTTCTTCGTAAATAATAAAATCCCTGTTTGAGCAACTCCCTAGGTCCAATTATGAATCTAAACCATCCAGGGCATTACCCAAATGCACACAAAAAAAATTCATTCAAATCGGTTAAGCCATTTAGGAGTTCAGTGACATATACATGTATAGTAGAATTATATATATAGATAATCAATTCAAAAATATATTGATTAGATATGCAACTCATCATATATTTGATACATAAAATATTATATTAGTTTGAAATAAACGGATATCACATGTATATTTTATATCTTTAGTCGTGCATGATACATTTCAAATAAAACTATTTCTGTCAGCATGTAATAGTTTGGTCTAACAATAACATTTATTCAAAACTATATTGGTTGTTATTACAATTGTATATTATTTTTACCTTCTAAAGTATAATAATAGTTAATTTGAAAAAACTAATACAAATTATTTTATATAAGCATGTCAAATATGTTTGAAATTTTTATTTTCAAATAAAGCATACGCTCTGTAAACATGTTACATATTCCTACTTAATATTCTGATATTATGATTGATAGTATACAATAGTTTATTAACTAATAACTATACTTGAAAAAAAAGTGAAATTATTTTGATAAATAACTTGTTTAAGTGAAAACCATCACAACGTATAAAAAGTATACTTTTTTAATTTTAAAATAATATTCATATAAAAGTGATAGCAAAATAAAATAAATACAGAATAAGAATACATATTATATTATATCAAAAAGAAATGTCAAATGTTCCTTTATATACACAAAATTATTTAAAGAGAATAGTTGAACTATACTTTTAAATTTTAATACATTTGAAAAAAGTTCACAGTACTTAAAGTTATAAAAAAAATACAATTATTATGTCTTAACTAAAAAAACTTGAATGCTTTTGAAAGATATTTACTTTTTCTTTTTTTTGGGAACTGGTGATTTGGGATCTCCAGCATCAGCTTTATCAACCTTGTCAGCTTTCTTTTTAACCGGGGCAGGGGATGGTGCTGGCTTCAAATTCTTTTTAAGCAGTTTTTTCTGTTCTCTTTCTTTTTCTTCCAATTCTTGGTTTTCTCTCTCTATTAGCGTAATTAAAGTGTTACACCGCCTTTGTAATTCATTAGCAGTACGACTTTTAATAAACCAATCAAATCTAAATTGAGGAGCACACCTAAGAAAGATACCAAATATTAATAACCTAAAATGCTTAACTTTTCTTTGCTAACAA